GCCGGCCGCCACAAAGCTGCGTTTACGAACAGGGAGCAAACACCTCACAGAAACTAGAATGGAGGAAAACAATTTCTTCATGCGAACCTTTGTAGGCGCCTATAAGCTGTATTAGCTCTTCTCCCTCTGCTTCAGCAGCCTCCCTTTCTCTTCTGCACCCGCGGAGGTGAAGCTGGATGGGAAACGGTACGTTATTTGTGTCTAACCCACCAGATATGCCAGGAGGAACTGTCTCTGGAATCTCACTTAAGAACTTCCTCTAGCTGTGTCACTTCTTTGTACCTTCATACTCGCCTTAGGGACTCCTTGGTGGGTCAAGGTGGGGAGAAAATGAAGTAAGCTGATACAAAACTGTCAGATTAAAAGGCCGTAACTGGAAGGAATGTACAGTTTGGACTGGTAGAGGATGCTATGTGCAAAGAAAGGGACATCCATAAAAGGATCCCTCCACCCCAATTTCCCTTCAAGAAGGAAGACTGAGTCTGCCAAAATCGGTAAAGAAAACTAAGTGCTATGTTTTTTTCTAGCCTGAGTGGAGAATAGCTGCTTTTAGATCCTGTTAGTCAGGCATCCAGATCACAGGCTGCTAGTAGAATAAAATGCTTCTTGTATCTGGGAGCATGGTGGTGTAGAGGGGGATGTATGGATAGGGGCTGGCAGTCCTGTCCTTGAAGGACTGTAGTCTTTGCATGGTCTCTGCAGCATTCACAGGCTACCTAGAACCGCTTCCATGTGGAGCTTACTCTGGGACTGTCTCTTTGCTGCATCTGTGCAGCACAGCAACCAGCAGTGTTCCCTACAAACACTGAACAAACAGGAGCCCAAATGCAAGAAGCAAATTGCCCACTGTTAATTGTGGTAATTCATTATGCTAAAATGAGCAGAGCCTCTGTAGTGTGTACCCTTTCAAATCGTACTGGTTTTACGCTCCTAGTCTGTGCACTTGCACTTGGTTAGTGCAAATGCCTGTTATTGAGATAATCCATTTTGAGTTTTTTTTAAGTGTAGTTTAAAAAAATAGAAAATTTTGAAAAAATACAGAATACTACAAGTATTCTTATATGGCTGTAAGCGTAGTCATGGTGACAGCAGGTTTCTGTGTGCTTGAGACTATGATTTCTAGAGTAGTGAAATTCCACTAATAAGAAGCATTTAGACTTCCAAGTCTCTGCTTATTGCACCCATAGCAATTTGTTAAGGGAAGAATGACTGAGATGGATCCTAAGTGCCTACATTCCCAACAGCTTTGTATTGATCCAGTCATGAGTATGCAGCGTCTGTCTGTTAGGGAGAACATGTTTCATAATGCTCACAAGAACGGACATGGCTCCAAAGCTTGTAGCAGCTTTGCTTTTCAAGAGCTCTGCAGTGTAACACAGTGACTAGTACAGTGGTTAACTGGTCATTCTGCTTTGGAAAACACCCTGAGACATTAACATGGACATTGATAAAGGAGTTAAAAGGAGAACCGGTCTTTCCAGGAGTGTTTTCAAGTGATGTGCAAGAGAAATCTGCTAACTCAGTGGTTCTGAGGGCAGGTTTTGCTGGGATGCATGCAAAGTGCCTATTTAAGCCAAGAAGCCCCAGGGAACTGGTGCTGGGGCCGGGCTTTATCCCACTGAGCTTCAGTAGACAGTTTCCAAACAAACAAAAGCCCACAAAAAGCATTTCCAGACGTCCTGAAATGTCAGAGGGGGGAAAAGCTGTAAAAAATGTTTATTCAAAAATATGAAGAATTTTACATGCAGAAATCAATTCACTCACGAAATGTGTCTCTCATAAATCTATTCGTTACTCTATTCCTGGTTTTGGAACTTGAGATATAAGTGATATACTACATCTGTGTGTGTGACTATACTACCTTTCTGCAACCAAATGGTCTGAAGACTAGACAGGTCAAGAGAACTAACAGACACTGCAACTTTACATATATAAACTCACATCACTATGTCTATAAAACTAATAAAAATGAAAGTAATTTTAAGTAATTTAATAACCTGACAGGAAATACAAATATATGGAATTAGCAGTATTACTCCTCCAGGAAACAATCAGTCATTGACTCTATCACAAGATGTCATATTTGTACTCTATTATAAAGGAAATAAATATGTAAAGCAGTTTGCACTTTGCATTAACTGAATACATGATGTATAAGAAAATAGCTGTCAAATACTAGGTGGGAATGGAACAAGAGATCCACGAGGCATAGGTCACCTACTGGTTTTCCTGAATTTGTCTGTCAATGCCAGGGGTGTGTGTGAACAGAGCTTAGGGATCTGGGACAATGCTCTTCCTTTGAAAAGACCTGAGTCTTTGTTTCTCTAATTAGAAAAAGATTCATTCCATACCTGATCTTTAAACAAACATTCAAGCCTTCACCATCATATTGAGCCACTATGTTGAATTAGTTGAATGCTATAAGAGGTTTTATTGTTACTACAAGTTTGCTGGTAGGCAAGGTGGAGAACTGAATTATACTGGAAGTTAAATATGTAACATTTGTTTTTGTAATACTGGTAAAAGAAAGAAAAAATGAGCAAAGTAAACAGAATACCACTATGGCAATGTGCAGATTGGGTGGCCATCAGGGTCTGTGGAAAATCATCCTTTATTCATAACTGGCTGTAGCAAAGGCACACTATTTGTTCTTTGCACTGTGTAATACATTTTATTTCATTCATGGCCACTGCATCTACCTAAACTTCCAGCTCCTGAAAAAGGCTTTAACTTAATGATTTTCACCCTAGGGTTCATCAATTACTTCTACGTGGTGTTGGCACCCAGGCCTGATGCTACCGGGCCAGGAGAGCCACAGGATCGGCAGTGGCGGGACCGCAGAGCGCTGAACCACGTTCAGCCTCCCCGCGGGTAGCGGCTTTCTAATCCAAAGCTGTTTGTCAAGAAGCAAGCGTTTGTGAGCCTGCCGGGAGGCACCGCGGAGCAACCCCGGCGCGGGGCGAGCAGCCGGCTGCGCGGGGCCGGCGCTGATACCGGTACCGGGCGCCCCCCGCGAGGCTCCTCCC